TGTGTCCACAGGACACAACAGTCGCAAGCACGAGAGACTTGAAGTGACCCTCGGTGTTGAGTGCTCATGCAAACTTTCGTGTTAATGTTCGTGGCAATGGATTTCTTTAATTTTCTGTAAATCATTTCCGGTTGTTGAGAGGATTTGTTTCAAGATTAATTTTATACACAACACGACTATTTGTGTAATAAGTGCAAGCAGAATCTCGCTTTCGTTCAACGATCAAGACCTTGTATTAAATGAATAAAATCTGGGATACTCGCATTAATTAATATTCGGATAATTCTGTAAAAGCATTAACAATTGTTATGAATTTGGTTAGGGCCTTGGCCCGATTCACACTTGACGCGCGATGGACCTACGTGCTCCAGCAACTACATGTGGAGTTGGGTGTGGGAGCTTGAAATGAGACTTTACCTTTATGATTATTAGCAAGGTGTGTACTTTCTATAGGTTGGTGTTTTATTTATCTTAGTTTATATTTTTTCTGTTTATGTAATGTTAATGTTAAATGAACGAATTTAATGTAATTATGTTTGTTGTCCTTATTCACTGTTCATTTTGAATACTCTAACCCTGATGAAGAAATTAAATATTTCGAAACGTTGGCCCAACTAATTGTTTCTCTATGACCAATCTCGTGAAACAATTTTAGTTTCCTGTTTTTGATTTAGTTATTTGCCTTTACCGGTTATCAACTAGTGATCACGCTATGGGAGTGAACGTGATCATGTGTGTGCGTGTGTGTGTGTGTGTGTGAAATGTAAACGTAGTTGCTGCGAAACAGACTGTTTTCTCGCTGTCTCGCTTAAGATGCTTGTAAATGTGGAAGCTTGGCCAGATCGAAACGTAATATTACCTTCCTACACTTTTCTCGTTCCTGCAGAGTCTAAATCGTAAAAATACGTTTCTCGCAGCCCGCAGATGTATTTTAACGTACGAAGATTTCGTTCGTAAACAATTAATATTAGAAAATCATTAGTATTTAGTACCTCTTTTGAAAAATTGAACGTAGCCAAGAATAAATGTCAGTATTTTTTCAATTTTTTCTTCTTTTTCTCCTTCTAAACATGCACGTATAAGAATTTGCATAAATCAAGCAAATTTATCACTACAGTTTACATATTTTCTGTTTATATTGTCGAATGTCCATAAAATCAAAAACCGTTAACTTTCCTTGTTTACAGTTGGTTTTATTTTATACTCATGTGCAAAGTAGTGCAAGTCTGGTGGCGCCATGGGATACAATCAGTCCAATGAGTCAGTCCATGGGATACAATCAGTCCAATGAGTCAGTCCATGGGATACAATCAGTCCAATGAGTCAGTCCATGGGATACAATCAGTCCAATGAGTCAGTCCATGGGATACAATCAGTCCAATGAGACAGTCGGTCTAGCCAGATAGTATCGCGTAATAATTTTATTTGAGACATGTAAAACAATTGATTACATCGTTCATTTATGTTTTTCAGGTTTTCTTCACATTTACAATTGGCCTAACACGAATTTCTTTGTACTCCGGTGTCTTGGTTTGTAAATAAATTGAACAGTATTGGAAGAGTTCTGAAATTTGCTGTAATACATTACATACGAAGCATAGGACGGGTATGAGTGATAAAATTCAAGAATGAGTATGTGATATAAGTTTAAAATTAGAGAAAATTAAGAAGTCGACCCAACTTTACTTATATCAATATTCTGATAAAAATTTACAAATTTTAAATTGTGAGATGTTCAAACAGATATTTACATATTTAAGTGACTCGCTACAGTAGTATACATCAATTGACGTCACTATAGTGCCTATGATCGAGAAGTTCTAGTGTACCAGCCCAACATATTTGTTATTGTATTGTTTAGTATTTATGTACTGTAGATTTGATACTATGCAATATTATTGTTTAAATAATTACATTATTCGACCATAAATGGAAATTTAAATATTTCTTTTAAACAAAGAAAGGTAAACGAAAATGGCCTTGGGGGGGGGGCATGGCTGCTATGACCCCCCTCTAAATCCGCTAGTGGCTAGGCCTAGTTTTCAATCGCGATAATTCTAGCGTCAGAAGTCTGAAAGTAGTTTTGCCGATCAATACCAACCGAATTCAAGAACCGTACCCTAGCAAAGGGACGCGCGCAAATCTTTCCTTCCTCTTCTTGTCCTTGTGTTATCCCACATTCCTTACCTACACAAACTTCTCCTTTCATGATAATGTCCGAATCCTGCCGCCGGCCGTCGGAATTCGAACCCAAGGAACTTTCGGTCAGAGGCACTGCAGGGACAACAAGTGATGCCCTGAGCCACCTAGCTCGAGTCGAACATTAGGAGCTCCCTGTCAGCGACGGTGCAGAGGCGACAACAATGTTGCCACTAGACACGCAGCCGGATCCCCCTCCCCTTCCTGGAACTGCCCACGGTCTAAACCAGGGCTCTGCAACTCTCGGTCAAAACCGGGGACACAGCTGGAGGTTGCTACTATGGGAGGCGCTAGTATTGTCGGGTACAGCTGTAGGTTAGGCTCACCAATTTTCCCACACACAAATTAGCTAATATGTGAGAAATAGGAAAAGTGTGTTCTAAATGTTCAATTATTCATAATCCATACTTATAAGAAACCTCTGAAGAAAGCGCGAACACAGACGTTATCTTTTGTAACATAATGGGCCTGCTTGCGACCCGCGAACTCACGCAGCAGCCACACACATTTAAAGTATCGTTGGCAGCAGTTCGTGTTGTATTTCCTGTAAAGAAGGTGATGCAGCAGAGCGCCCCACCGTAGTGGTTTCCATCACGTTCAATGGGAGTTGTAGGGCCCTGGTCTAAACACAGCATTGTCACCAGTTGGTCTGTGTGGGCAGCAGAGCTTTCTATAGAAACGCGCGTTCCGGGAAGACCAACTCATTCTTTGCGTCCGCTGACGTCAGTCTGATCTTGTCCGCAGTACGTTACTTGGAAACTTTTCAGATTCCCTCGGGTGACGACACCCCCACTCGACCTCGCCCGCTTCATTGGGAAATTCGCGAGGGTGGTAACCTCGCATATTTATAGGTAAGTTATGTTATTGTTGGGTGGTATTTTAGGCCTGTATAACGGGAAAGAACATTTTAAATTTAAAGCGACTCAAATACATGATTGGAAACAATGACAAAATGGAAGTCATGGTCTATTTTTTGCGAAGGTCAATTCCATTGAAATACAGAGAAAGGCTAAATTCAGAACATTAGTGAGACAAACAAGTGAAAGCCAACACCCACAAAGGGTTGTCGTGCTAATGGAAGAAGAAGGAAAATAAGACAAACAGGAATTCTCAAACAAACCAAAAATAATAAGAGATCCTAGGCAGAAGATAGTCGGCAAAAACAGAATGATGAGAAAGAAAAGGAAGATAAAGCGTTTGCAAGATCTATTCTCGACACGAAATAAAGACAAAGTAGAATTTGTGATTAATGTTTTGCGAAAAATGTATTTATTGTCTTACAGGTTGGCTCTAAATTCAGAACATTAATTTCTAGTTCCTTTGAGGAGGGAGGAAGGAAGAAAAGAGAGAGAGTGTGAGAGAGAGAGAGAGAGGGAGAGAAAGAACTCGGATCAAAAAAGGACAACAGGTCTCACGTCTAAGGAAGAAGAAGTTGAAATTCTTCCGTGCAGTTTCCAGTATAAATATTTCCACAAAACCGACTGAATGTAAAGATGTTCTTGATTCATCTTTTGTAACATACGAACGCATTACATTGATTGCACTGATAAACTCATCACTGTCGTAAAAGTATTTTCGCAATTCGCACAATATTTTTTTCTTATTATTTCATATTATTTCTGTTAATAACTGGTTCATAAAAACATGTGGCAATCAATAAACGAATGGTTCTTGTGCAATAACAAGATAAAGATAAGGTAAGTAAGTAGACGGATGAGTTGCAGTTGAACAGGCTCCTGTGTTCCGCGTGCCGTGCGGGTTGCCTAAGCGACGTCATCTCACGGCGCATCTGTGTTCTTTGGCATGCTTCTTGCAGCTGTTATTACTCGTAGATGAGATTGAATAATATTTGAAAAATATATACTTTTTAAATACTTTTTACTTACAATACTTACTTACAATACTTTTAAAAATAATTGAAAAATATATACTTTTTATTATGACTAGGAATATTTTGAAAATATCTCCGGGAGAAGAACAGATAAAGTATCCCTTTCCAACAATGCAGTACAAGCCCAGGTCATAAATGTTTTTTTAATACTAAAATATTAAAAAACAGCTTGCAATAATGAAATATATTTATAATAGGAAAGTGGTGGATGCGATTAATTCCTGTAGCAACTGTTGAGGGTGAGCCCATCGATTGTACCTAGATCCGCCAATGCACACACACATACACGCGTGCTCTCTCTCTCTCTCTCTCTCTCCTCTCTCTCTCTCTCTCTCTCTCTCTTCTCTCTCTCTCTCTGACTGTCTCTGTCTCTCTCCCCTGACGTACTCGCTGAGGCACTCAGCAGAGAGACAAATCCCCCCCACCCTCCGCTTGGACCGCGCTCGTGCAGGAGGAAGCCCGGCGGGCGAGGGCGAGGGGAGGCGCCCTAAGGGGGAGGGAGAGGCGCACGTGGCGCAGAGATTTCGCGGCAGCGCGGACCGCCCCCCGCCCCCAGCGCCCTTCGCCCCCCGCGCGCCAGACGGGCGGTGGAGGCAGAGTGCAGGGTGCAAAGGATTTAAATGAAGGCAGGATCACGGCCAGCAGCACCTGAGAAACTAGTGGAACGATGTTACATGTGTTGCTTAAAGCTTGGGGGGTTGCATGCAACGGAGCATGCTGCGAAATAAAGGCTGTTTTAAAGCGAAACGGGAACGAGGTAGGAGGGGACAGGGAGGGTGGGACGGACGAGTGTGGTGAGAGGAGGAGGGAGGAGATAGGAGTCAGGAGGAGGAAGATAGAAGAAAAGGAGAGTGAGGAGGAGGGAGGGAAGACGTATAGAGGAAAGGAGACAGGAAGGGAATGACCAGACATGGAGAGACGAAAGGGAAGAGAAAATAAGAAAGGAGATGGTGAGATGGGAGGGAGGGAGAGAAAGGAAGGGAACAGATTGAGGGAAGAGGAGAGACTGGGAGGAAATGGGCGAGTGTTGGAGGGAGGCAAGGGAAGAGAAGAGGAAGGAGAGGGAGGGGAGAGATTGAGGAAAGAAGGGAAAGGAAGGGCAGAGACTGGGAACAAATGGGCGAGTGGTGGAGGGAAGAAAGGGAAGAGACATGGAGGAGGTAGGTGAGAGAGAGGAGGCACTGGTCACGTGGCAGTGACGTGGATGAAGGGTGAGACCCAGCGGAAGGATTGCCTCTGCAAGTTGGCTGCCGCAGTGTAGTAGAAAATTTGCTTCCTGGTCCAGAGCCGACCACAACGCGCTCTTCGAGCCGGCAGATCGAGAGCTCAGAGGCGAGAAAAGGAATACGCGGGGGCCATGGGCAGCGCCTTCGTGGGAAGATCTCAAAACTGCGATGGCAGAGGTATTTTCGGGAGCACTACACAGCGCTGGGTTCTAACTCAATATTGCATATTAAATACTGTTACTCTGTAGGTTGATTCGTGAGACAAGCAGAGTGAACACTTGTTTGAGCAAGTGCACCTTAACCCTAGGAAAGATACACGAATGCTACACTGGTAAATGTAGCTACACAGGATTCATATTATGAATAGTAAAATTTAATTGTGTTCTAAAATTAATATATAATGAGTAGTTTAAGTTTAGAAACTACAAAATGGAAATTTTGTCTGAATCAATATCTGATGTAAAAAACTCAGCCCAAAAAGGTAATGTACATTTGCTTTAAAAAACCAGTAGTTTTCGCTACATTTTGGCTGGAAATTAACAAAGTATATACAACTGTCTACGCGGCCCCGTGTTCGATTCCCTGTCGAGCCAACACTATAGTGTGCATTTTCCTTGCAGTGTCCCAATATATGTTGTGTGACGATGGAAAAATTCACTTCTCAGGTTCAGAAGACCGGAATACGGCGTGGGGATGTCTACGTGCTAACCACACGTACCCCCTTAACCCATGGTCGTAAGGCACGGACGTCGCCGGTAGGCCTGAGCTCGTTCACACACCAAGTACATAGATATGTACATATACAGCTGTACCATCGACTACGAGCCACAATAAATATCCGCGGAGAACAGGAATGGATGAAAAGTATAAGAAAAACATTAATTCAATACATTTAATTCTAATTTACAATTGAAAATCCCAATATAAATTCTACTTTTACTGTATTCTACAATTTGTATTCTCAATGTATTTATTATTTTCTTTAAAACAATATGCAAACCTTCATTAAAATTAGCCCAATTATGTTTTCTCTCTTAATATAAGATTTAAATGTAATGTGAACTTAAAATGTTCAATGTAAAAATGTGAATGTAAAATTGAGTATCATAATTTTGTACGAAGTTTTATTACGATAATTTTATTATACCGCCGTACGCTTCATTGGGCAAAAATGCAGCGATGAATATTTGAGAAATTCTTGGCTACCCGGGAGACGCCGCGTGTGACTCTCTCACTGCCCTGAGGAAGCCGGTGACATGTCAGGGGAAACGTCGGCCTCTCAGCCAACGACGCGGCGTCTCTCGGATAGCCATGGAATTATGGAATCGAGCCTCGGAAGCTTAGGTGTGCAGCGAATATTTGAGAAGTTTACTGTTCAAAGGTGACATGATGAGAAAGATAAGATAAGACAAGTTTACTTACTTGCCTTTAGAGTTACAATATTCTCGCCGGTATATTTATTCATATAATAAAATTTATTTGCAAATGAAATATGGTGGTATGTATATAAAGTATAGAATGATATTAAAATTAATTGCATTGTGAATTTATTGCAAGGCAATCATGTCCATTTAGCTAACCTCTTTACGTGGTTATTAGTACGTTAATAGCCTCTTGTATCACGATTGTTCAACAAATCAGGTCTCTAAGCCAACTATTTGACTACTTGGGATGTAATAGATTACCCAGATTTACACCACCGTTTTTTTTTCCAAGAATTATTTTGCCAGTGAGTTCAGTAACACGTTGAGCATAGTGTGAAGTATGTTATTACTGGGAATGGCTTTGTTTGGAAGAGAGTTGATTGGAGGCCACCTACGGAGTGTCCTTGCCTCGTCGATGTCTCATCTCTGTCTGTCTGTCTCCCTCTCTCTCTTCTCTCTCTCCTCTCTCTCTCTCTCTACTCTCTCTCCTCTCTCTCTCCCATTGTGGCGTTTTCTACCTTTAAAGGCTTCCGTTGCACCTACACGCTTCTTCATTACAGTATTATTAGAAGCGCTTAAAATACCTTTTAAAATAGAAATAGGAACAAATAGGCATGTTAGAAAACTTCAGCCTCTAAATGCAGCTACAATAGACATGCCTCAATAGAATAAAAAGTGGAAATTCAATGTGACATGTTTTCGGCACTTACTGCTTGTCGCAGATTATCTACTAAGTTATAATAAAAACAGCTCTTAATATATATTACACCTATAAAATAATTTTAATTCCAATACCAGCTTGACCTTTGATATCAACATGGTGAACTTCTTGGACTTGAAATGAGCTAGTACTCCGTAGAATACATATTCGAAAACAATGAAATAAAAATATTTCATAGCAAATCATGTTAATAAAATATACGTATTTGGTTTTGTGTATGCACAGAGAAGTAAATTAAAAATTTTATTGAGTTTTAATTTCTTCCATGTACAAGTAATGTACTCGGATGATTTTATGTTTAATCACTTAATTAGTCAAACAATAACACATAAAAAACAATGCACGTCAAACTGGTTTACTTTTGTGGCCCCGCCTGAGTTTTTCTCTAAATGTATTTCTGAATGCTTTTGATAGTTTTTGGTGATTTTGTCACTTCATTAAGTTGTAGTTCTAAGGTAGCTGAATGTGAATTGGCCAGGGAGTGTCTATTTAATTTTTTATTTATTTTACGCGAAAAGAGCTCAAATCTGTGTGAGACGAGCTACGGGGAGACATGGATTCTGTGCACTTTTTCATATTCTATGGTCTCTACCTAAGCCTTATACTACTTGAATTTTAAATACAGAAAGAAATGAGCGATTTTTTGCAAGGATTATTAACAAAATATACGCTTCGATGTAATATAATAAAATTTCAAGAGTAAAGCAGCTACTTATTTGGGTCTTATCCTTCATCATGTCCTTCGTGATGGAATAATATTTCCTGTTGCGACAACATGGAGAACGATGATTTGAATAACTACATTTTACTCTGAATTCTAGAACACGTGCACGATAATGAAGTTACATTTATGTTCACAAGTAAAACAATGGGACATTTCAGCACTTGCTCAATGGATCAGGGAAACTGGCCAAAAACCTGATCTAGAAGCTGAGCTGTCTAGGATCACCCACCAAGAGCATTGATGACACCTACTGGAAAGCATTAATTTGTCTCTTCCAGAGGCCCAGTTCATATTCTAGGTTACTCATATACGATTTTCACCCTTTTAAATGTTGAAATCAAGGAAATTGAGTATGACAATTTCCCAACAGCATTTGTAGGAACCATGAACACTGCTAATTTAGTCAGTTGTATCAATTGAAAATTGGGCCAAGGCAAACAATCATATGTCAATGCGTATAGATTATTCATCACTCAGCACATTTATAGTAATAAACTAGTGGTGCTAAAACAGCACCTACTTTCTCGTCCGCACGCAAAATTATGTGGAAATTTAACGCAAAATTATGTGAAAAGTACTCAAGTTTTCGAAACATTATACAGAACCTAATTTCAAAATATATCTTTAAGGAACAGATTTCATTAAGAGAAAATATCTTTATTGAATATTTTAGTTGTAGGAAGACTCCGAAAAAAATTTCAACTTTTGCAAATTTCGAAAACTTAGCGTTTTTAACTAACATAAGACCTGCACCATTCTCTTAAACGTTCTTTACTACACCCAACAACAAAATTTAATCAAATTCAAGGAGCCGCAACATCAGTCAGATCAATATGGGATTATCAATTTTGGAGAAAGTCGACTGAACGGTTCAGCCACAAACGTTGTTCACAGACAAACGGACACACGGACGTTTTGCCGTTATTCGATTTTTTGGAATTAAGGACCAACATGACATGGATTCTTGCTACACCACGTGTTAGAGGATTGTTTTCTAAATTTAGCAAGTGGATTTATTCGCTTTTTCGTTGCAAGTTAGTATATTATATTCTTAGGGATTCGTGTTTAGGTAGTTTTTTTTCAATTCCTTAAGAATTCATTGTTTAAGGAGTCAGATGGCAAATCAGGTAAATAAATTAATACCATTCAGAATACTTACGCACTAAGGACAATAAATAAACAACGTTTCGAAAGAAACAACGAGAATGCACAAAATTGTACAATAGACGTAAATTAATACACACTAACGAATAGAAATTAATTCGCATTCACCTTTTATATTTTACTCTTTTCGATCATACATTTTACTTTTAGAAACTTTTTATTACTAGATGCAAACTTTGTCTTTTGAATTTCCTAGGCTGAGAACATTTTTTTACATCAATATCGCATGAGTCAAAAGGTTTTGATACATGCAGTAGATAAAGACCCCATTTTAAATGGCAGAAGGTTGCTGACTGAATCATTATTCGAGGGTTCGTATTTCACATCTTTAATTGGACGTGGATCAACCTTTTGTGTCTGTGAAACATGAGTACTGAAGTCAAATACAATGAATATATTGAACTATTTCAAGATATGGAGTTACAATTCTACGCACCACCCGAATGGGTGACATTGAAGTAGTTATTTTTAAGTCCCAGAAAAAAGCACTGACATACATGTATAAATGTGCATATTTGGCATTTTAGGATCGAATATTACTTTGGCCAGCTAGCGGCGTTCCCAAGGCTGGGCCCTGTTTTTATTTATTATCCATACCTGGGGGTCATGAGGCGGGCATGCCGTATTTCCTTCACCGTATCTAGCTTACTTGGCCGGCCTGACCTTTTGTTTTCGTCACGCAGCTATAGAAACTGTGACGATTGTTTTCGAAAACTACAACTCTATGTTTGACCCGACAGGGAATCGAATCAGCGACCGCACCACCGAAAGCTAGCACGATGTTCACCGAAGGGCTTCAGTGCACACATGCTTCTCTAAAACAAACAACAACAATATATCAAATTAGTTACACCGACCATCTGACTTTGGGGCTAAAGCTGTCATTGTTGTAAATAATCACGAAACAGCAATTCAGAATAAAAAATTATGGATGTTGTTGTTTCACATTCTAGACAGAGGACGAAACTAAATGTGTGAGTGACTTGTTTGAATAACGCAAGTCATTTATGTTTTTAAAAAAATAAAAAGGATATCCAAATACATAAACAAACTATAAATTATGAAAATTAAAAGAAATTACAAGGAGCATTCTTTAATATATAGAATGAAGAATTAAATGAAAACAAAGATGCATAAATAAAAAATAAAAATAGGCATTTACCTACAAATGTTGTGTGAAAACTCTTGCACAGATTACGAAAGTAGTTGCGAGTAAAAATGAACTCTGTTTTTAGCAAAGTTGGTGTTCATCGCAGTTAAGAGGACTGGCATCATTTTTCTGAAATGTTTATGAGAAATAGTCTATTCCGACTATTTGTGCCATCTGATTAAGTTGATTCTCTACTGTCTTTAGCTATCCTTAAAACTCTATTTTGCATTATCTTATTTTATGAAACGTATAATTGGCAACATTTTAAATATTTAAAATAATTGTGTTCATATAACATCGATTTTTCTGTCCTGACCGTTCGTGTAACTTAATTCTGAGAATGAACGAACTACACTTTTGTGGTTTAAGAATTGTAAATTATAGAATTTGCATTACATTTAGTTTCACTTTTGTTACCTAAAATTTCGTAATCTTGGCTATTCGTGGGACACCGCTTCGCAAACAGTCGAGATTCTATTGATTCCAGTCGCAAAACCATTGTCTTCATCTTCAATTTTGTTCTGTACTAACAAATTGCAATGCCATCCCTATTATGAAAGCATGGAATAAAACAAAATGGAAGTATTAACTACCTCATCTACTGATCCTTGTTAATTTTCCTTTTCTTCAGATTTTTTTTAATTCTTCTGGCTCTCAAGATTTTTTTATCACAATTTTTCAGATCTCAGGCTGTACAAAACTTTTATATATGAAAGGAACCAATGAGTTAACTACTGTTCCACAGAGAACAGAAAAGATACAGAACGATATGATCGGTTCTTTATTTAAACACCCGAAGGAGTTGAGGAAAGCATTGCAGCGACTTCACTTGGTCGCCCTCATTGAAATCCACCATCTCGTGACTTGCCCGCTCAATGCCAGCTGCTCCGAACGAGAACAACCGTTGGGGACCTCTAGCGCGGAGCTCTCCGTAATTGAATTCCCTCTCAGTGCTGTTAGCTTATCTCGCATGACTAGGCAGCGATCTCTATAGAGAACGATGGATTCCCAATGGGCGGAGATCCACAACGTCATCAGAGCCGAGTTTATATATGGTCCCAGAGAGCCAAGACATGGACGTCCATTTCGGCGCTGGAGGCGGGAACGCAGATCAAATCATACTCCGACTTGATTCAATCAAACAAACTATCACCTGGTCTGATTATATCAAATATTTCAAAACTATCGTATTATTTGCTAATGTTTACAAAAATTACAAGAATGCTGTTTCTTCGATCTTCTTCACTTTTAATTAAAATGTTCCTGTCAGTGGAATTCGGAAATCATTTCAGAATGACTGAGAGATTTAGAAATCGGGTTGTTTGATCTGTGTGATGAAACTATTAATATGATTCACTCGGCAATAGCTTGCTCACATTTCACTTGGCCACGTGCAGACAAAAAATAGGTGGGAAGTGTGTTATTAATACGAGTCGTTGAGGCGTCAGAGCAAAGCTTAAGGTCGATCCGTGTTCTTTCATTTCTTTGGAAAGCTGTGGGGAACATTGTGTTAGAGGAAACAGTCTAAAGTCATCAACGTGGTCATTACCCATCATAATTTTAGCCATTATCGGAAATACAGATTTTTATATGTGTTTATATGTATATAATAATATTAATAATAATTATTATTACTATTATTATTATTATTATTATTATTATTATTGGTTGTTAGTTATAGCTGGCGCAAACAACTGAGGTTTTTAGTCACATACGTAAATGCTTGTTTCTTGCTCGGGAGGTGGCGGTGATTTTCCTCCGCTGGATGGCGAGATCCGGCACTGACATATTATCAGCTAACAGGATTTCACCACGAGGTATCTCAAAGAAGCCGGCCATCGCCCCAGTCCGGACAAGCTCTGAGCTCCCGTCCTGTCTCCCGGGAAGTGTTGTGCGTGTAAGCGTAAGTGTGAAAATAAGGGGAGAGGGTAGAAAAAGGAAGAGGAAGGAAAGATCGCGCGCACTCCGTGGTCCGTTTGTTAGGGTACTGCTCCGGCATTCACGTGATGGCCACTGCAGTGACAATCAACAGCTGAAGCACAGGTCCACCTCTCCCTGTGTTGTTGTTGTTTGCAGCAGGTGGCCGTCGCGGCGCGCGGGCTGTCCTCTCCGGCTGGAGCGAGTTGCAGAGATTTCAGAGCCCTCGCCCCCCCCTGCCATCGCATGGCGCCGCGTGGGGCGGTCGATACTCCTCGCTGCGCAACCGGCCGAAGGGGCCCGGCGACCGCCCTACGCACCGCCCCCCCCCCGACACCCTCGGAGGACTCGGGGGCCACGTGACGGGCGCCATACGGCCTCTCTGCGTAATAATAGTAGTGTAGTAGTAGTAATAATATAATAATTAAAATATTAATAATAGTAATAATAATAATAACAACAAATA